TTTATTTATTTTTATCTGGAGTAATTAAGGGGAAATTATTTATAGATCATTGAATATTATTTACTATAAATTGATTTTATTTATTTATTCACGGTGTTTACATAAGGGCGCGGCACTACTTTTCAATTTTTTTTGCTAATGTTTGTATATTTAATGAGAATATAGCTAGGTGCTAGCGAACTTATTCTAGAACAAATATTTATAGTGGCTCATAGGATATTTCTAATTTAACCCCTTCACACTGCCACCACCTCCTTTTTGATCAGAGAAAGAGGAAACTCGGCGTTCAGCTATAACACTATAATGGTTGATATAATCGACTGCATAACCTGGTCATAATACAGGCCTGTTATACAGAGGGTTAAAACAAACAGTAGCATCTCTTTAAAGGCAGGGATTCATAAATTGCAATTAAGAGCTATAGAAACAGTTCAACACTTTCAGAAAGAGAGATTTATTACTAAAAGGGTCAACCAGGTGCAATAAAATTATTTACAGAGAAGATGTAACTAAGACATATATATATACATAGAAAACAGCACAGCACAGCAAAGTGATAACAGGGAGAAGTTAAAGGGTTAAGTTACTTGCCATTAAGCCTTGGATGGAAGCAGATCACGTTTCAGAGCGAAAGGCACAAGTCTCCCCAGGTGGTATATTGATGTTACAAATGGGAGATGTCTTCAAAACTTACTACTCTTAGGCTTGACAGCCTGCTTTAAAGTTCCCCAGCAGGGGGTGGTTCTGAAGTAAAAGACCAACTCCCTGTTTAGGGAGGGATCATCAGGCAGAACCCTAAACTGGAGCCCACATCTTTCATAATTCATATTCTGGTCCATAACTTTCCATGAGTACAAGCGACAGTCGCCCCGCGGGTTTATTATTATGCAGACAAGTCTGAGGATTATTTAGATATGAATTATGAAATTATATATTGCACGGTTCACAAGTTCTGTTTCAGCTTCCCTGATGGTCCGAGATAAGCTAGTGACCCATCGAACTGTTTGCCTGCTCATTGGCCATCTGATGAGGTGTCCGTTTTTTATGTAAGTCTCTCATATTCCAAGATATGAGACATAGGGGAAAAATTGATTTGAGAAGTGTTCATCTAATTCTGTCACCTACGCTGAGCTAGGTTTATTAGCTCAGAGTCCCTTTCAACTCCTGGGAAGGCTCCGCTATTCCTTCACGAGGCGTGGAATTACACAGGTACTTTGGCCAGTGAGACTCCAGCTCTCTTGGGAAAGCTGGTCCTATCTCTTCCTAGGTGAGAAAGGATACAGCTTTCACAGACAGCTCGGCACCTAGCTAGAGATGCCTTGGCTGGTCAGTGACCCATAAACAGTACACACACACATCTGTCACTGTGCCTCTCAGGAAGGGAGGGGGAAGGAGAATGAGGGAATAACATGCTACTCTTAACAAAATGGCAGACTGCGTCAGTCTCTGGCGTGCACATTTGCGACATGCACTACCTGCAATAATGTGCTCAAAACCTAAAATAAGGTGAACAAATGTGATGCCAACTGTTGCTAGCATCAAAATTGTGTTCCCACCATCAAAACAGTGAAATAAATAATATAATTCCATGCTGCTATAAATTTGAACTACGGCACATGCAGTGTGGTAACCATACCAAAATTATGGACATTATGATTAATTGGACATTGTAAGTAGTAGCTGGATAGTGATTGCATTCTCAAGGAGCACTGTATATGTTTTCACAGTATTTACAATATATATTGATGTATGCACTTAAACACGTTACTACCTTTGTATATTTTTTCTGCAATTATTCATCCATGCATTCTTGAATGATATTAGGTGCATATTTTAGTAGATGTTTGGTATGGTTACCACACTGCATGTAACTTAGTTCAGATTTATAGCAGCGCGGCATTATATTATTTATGTCACTCAACAGTCCATTGACACCCCCAGCAGCCCTGTAATTGAAGGTCCATACCCAGGTACATACCAGTAGCTGCACTGAGTCTGCAGGAGCCTGTGCATTGCAGGCACTGATCGTGGGCACAATGCTTCCCAGGATAAAAATACAATTTAAGAAATAATAAATATACTTTTTTAAAATGAATAGGTGTGTTTTTTTTCCCCAAAAGGTGGATTTATCCTTTTACGTTCAAATGTGTAAATTGGCTGATATGGATTACCTTATAACATCTAGCTCAATTTAGTTGCTCAGATCTCCAGCTCATCCTGTCATATAGGTTTATGTTATTTCTTGCCAAGTTTAAACACCCTGTACCATATGTTGTACTATTTGTTGATATGTATAATATGTTATCTTATTATCGGGCAGCACAGTGGCAAAATGGTTAGCACTTCCGCCTTGCAGTACTAGTGTTGTTGGTTCGAATCCCAGCCACGGCCCCACCTGCCTGGAGTTTGCATGTTCTCCCTGTGCCTGTGTGGGTTTTCTCTGGGTACTCCGGTTTCCTCCCATACTCCAAAGACATGCTGGTAGGTTAATTGGATCCTACGCTACTAAGCCTATACTAAGAAGATCAAATGAAGCTGCCAACACCCAGTCATATACCAGATGAAAGCCCAGTGGAAGTCACAAGACACACGTGACGTAACGCGTAGGCGTGTGGTGACGTACTTCCGGTCGGACGCCATCTTTGTGCACCCATTCAGCTACACCCATTGTGAAGGGAAATATCTGTTTATGCTGTTTACAAGAAGGAGGATTATGTGAGTGTATATCTTACTGTTACCTACATTTATTAATAAAAGCAGTATTACACTATTTGGAGCTTCTGCTTATATTCTATGAGAGTTACTGGCCATACTTACTACACTACGGGAAAGAGGTCTGCCATTACATATACCAGTCTGAATGAGGGATGTCATCCAGGAGAAAGTGACGCGGTCATGGAGGAGCTTTACACATGAAGGATCCAGTGATAGAGATCCTAATACCGTTGTGACCCTTTACGGGTCGACGCGGGGAGGTGAGAGCACATTTTTTTCCATTAGTGGACGCCCTCTTGTCACCATCTGCACAAATCACTCAAGTTCACAAGATTTCATATTTTAAGTGTATTGCACCCATCTTGGACATTTTTTATTACATTAGGGTGTGCTATATATATGTATGTTCTGCACGGCATGAGATATATTTTTTTGCACTATATGCATGTAGATATATTGATTTGTGTTTTTCATCGTTTTATTGAGTATTTGCACGAAATGTGATGTGTTTTTTCACATATTGATTTAGTGGGTTGGTTCATTTTGTATATATGTTACATGTACATGTGTTTTGATACTTTATGTGGGGGTTTTTTTTGAAAAATTTGGAGCACCTCTAGTAGTCCTATCATTGGATTACTCACGATCATGTGAAAATTGGACATTCAGTCCAGATTGGTGTGAGTGTTGTGTGGTTTGTTTTCTATGCACATACACTGCGTTTAGGCATCATTATCAGCTTATGCATGGTCCTTTTTCACTTATATAGTTGGCATTGATCACATGCACTATAATATCACTTTATTTGTGTATTCATTTCATTTCTTTTATTGTGGATATTTACATGCATTTATGAGTTTATTTTTACAGGTTTAGGGTTTATTCATAGGTAGCAGCGCCACATCATTTCCTTTTTCATTAATTGGCTCCTGTCTAAATTGGCCCTAATATGTGTATGTGTGAATATAAGTTAGGGACCTTAGATTGTACACCCCTTGAGGGTTAGGGACTGATATGAATGTACAATATATATGTAAAGTGCTGCGTAAATTGACGGAGCTATATAAGTACCTGAAGTAAATAAATAAATTTGCTGTTTTTTAGCCTATGTTGGCTGCATCTTATTTCATACTGATTTGTGTTTGAATCCTGTTTATGTAAAATTTTATTTAAAAAAAGTGAACAAGAAATTGGCTGATGTGTTCACTTTGAACAAGACAGATTGTATTTCTGTTTCCCTGATTTTTAATGTGTAGTGGCTGATAGTCTGATTAAGAGTTTACGCAGAAGAAGTTGAGCATGTCAAAAAAATAACAAGGGGTGTTCAGAGAAAACGATTACCAACTTGGCAAACACCAACCACTAAAGTAAAGGTTGTTTAGGGGTGGAAACCATGACTAATGATGAAACACATATATGAATGAGTTAATACCCACATAAAACAACTTCATTTCCTCAAGGGCACCTTTAAAAATAAACCTGGAAGATGTCCAGTGTGCAGACTGTACGTGAGAGTGCATTCCTAAAGAGGGGCTTTTAAATAAGTGATAAAATCACTGCACTTAAAGCCTTGAACCCAAATAAATTACATTTTGACTTCCATTTCAGTCCTGTGGCATGCAATATGTGTTTGACTTACAGCGTTTAAATTTTAATTAATAAACCAATTGTCATTAATGGTCCTAATTAGTAAACTCCTTTTATTAAAAAGGCAAAGATTAGTTATGTATGGCAGCTTGGTATATGGTAAATAAAAGCTGAAACACACTTTTTAATCAGGTGCATTGAAGTAACACAACTTATGTGCTTTATCACATGTTTGTGATATTCAATTGTGTGTCGGAGCTAAGACAATGCAGCTCTGATGCACATGCATTACAGCACACAATAGAGCAAAGTAATGTGCTACCATTCATTGTGTTGTGCTGGAATAAAAAAAAATGCTGAATGTCTATTTTTTGGTCTGCTCCTTTTCGTACTCAGTCAATTCAGAATGAATGACACAATGTAGATTAACGAGTGACACCATGCATGTTAATGCAACACACAGAAATGGAGAAACTCCCAGTGTGGCCAAATTTCAGGATCCAATATTTCTTAACAGGAATGTTCTAAAGCAGGGGTCTCCAAACAAAGGGCCAGTTTACTGTTCTTCAGACTTTAGAGGCTGGATTGTGGACATTGGGAGTAGAAATTGTCCTGGCATCAGTGGGAGTACACAGTGCATCCTTGGCATTAAGAGGATAAATAGTGCACCTTCGTTGATGTTAGTGAGAACAGTGCCCCTTCATTGGTGTCAATTGGGAAAAATAGTACCACCTTGTTGATGTCAGTAACAGGAATTATGCCACATGATTGGTGTCAGTGGGAGGAATAGTACCTTGCATCAGTGCAAGGAAAAGTGCCTCAAGGGACGGATAAAGGCAAGCAAAGGGCTGCATCTGGCCCCCCAGCTGCAGTTTGGAGACTAAAGAACAAGTAAACTCAACCACCCAAATCTCATATACTTTTTACCATGTACTGTAATTTCAGAAGTAGTTTTTAAGTTCCATTTACACCTAAGCATTATGTAGCTCAAAGGTCAAAGCTAGAAAATGCTCAACATGAAAAATGCCATTGCTTTAAACTGATTTTCAGAAGATTTGGGTGTTCTGCCCCTCAGACTTTAATGGGAGTTTCTGGAAAAACATGTCATGAACATTTTTTAGGTGCCCTATAATAGGGCTAAAAATGGGGCATAATCCTTCTCTAAAGAAGCTCCTGTGCAGCACAGCACAGCACTCTTGAAACATGGAAAAAATGTTTACAAAGTGTTTAAAACCACCTGAATATGTTATGCTTGAGTGTGAACATAGCCTTAACTACCTGTTGACCACTGACAGTAAATATACTGCGAGCGGGAGGCAAGTACAGTCACATATACAGTATGTATGTTATCTGCCTTCTTATGAGTTATGGGCACACATACGCACACCCTTGCTGACCCATGCTGTGATTGGACAGAGCACAAGTTTGGCAGCAGATTTCATTCAATGACTTTGGCTGAAACCTGCTGTGACGAACATGGTGCCTGCCCCCTGCCCTTCTTACCAGCTCATGACAAAGGACCAGCCAATCTCATACCACACTGTCACTTGCGGAACAATGCCAGTCTCACGTGCCACTCTCAGCTGCATAAAGATTTTCCACAATCTAGATGCCAGCAGTCTGAGAACGATTGTCACTGGGTTAAGTTGACTAAGCAAATAAGTCAAGCTACCACCACCACCACCAACTTTTGACTGAAAAGGAGGAAACTCATAATCTTAGCAAGAACTAATATGAAAAATATTATTTCATGTCCATGGATACCAAACACAGAGTATTTCAGATGGGTCTGTCACCCAGGAGGTAGGAGACTGCTTTCTCCCCTTTTGTATGTGCTAGCTTGGCCTTGATTTGTTCAGTATAATATTCCTCATTCAAACATATACTTAATATTAATGTGTCTGGGTCCTGTTGGATTTTATGAATTGTGTGTGGATTTTGTTAAGTTGTGAATCGGGAAGAGGTCTTGGAGAGGTCGCTCCCACACTTGGCTGCTTTCTGGGTAGACGTTTTATGACACACTATGTGTTGCTAGTCCATTAATTGCCCTACAAACCATGTGTGACGGAACCGAAGGATTTTGTCATGATAGGTCAGAGGGAAGTGTTAATCTGTAGTTTTTTTTAGGCATTAGAAACTAACACGGATCTTGCCAGGAATAAATTAGCTGTTTACAGCTCTGACCAAGGCCTGTGTGCTGGTGCCTGCTGTCCCTAACTTGAGATAACAGGCTCTTTTGAAGTGTGTTTAAAGTTAAGGCTATGGATTCCATAGATTGCAAAAGGAGGGAGAGGGTAGGATCACTGGGCTCATGAATAACATAGTGGCTGAGATCCGAAAAAGATGGATGTTGTCTACAGCTTTCATGTGCCTAATGCATACACACAGAACTCTGTGTGCATTGAACAGCGATCTGGCTGCTTTTTCTCCCTGAAAAGGAGGGAGAAAAAATAGCCAGGTTAGTAAGTAAATGCAGCACACATTACACTAATTAGACACACAGTCAACCCCTTGATTGCACCTAAATGTTAACCCCTTCCCAACCAGTGTCATTAGTACAGTGTCAATGTACAGTATTACCACTGATCGCTGTATTAGTGTTACTAGCAACATTAGTGTTAGTTAGTGATACTCCAAGCCAGTGTCTGTTAGCATCAGATTGCCCGCCACACTATCACAGTCACACATTAAGTTGCTGATCATTGTCATTACAGTATAACGTGTATAGCTGCGTAAATTTCAGGATATATACACAATAGATTGTAGACGCTATAATTTCCACACAAACCAATTAATATACATTTATTAGATAAAAAAAGAAAAACCCAATGTTGATCAAATACCACCAAGAGAAAGCTCATTTCGTGTGAAAAAAATGATGTAAATTTAATTTGCATACAGTGTTGCATGATTTCCAGTTAAAGTAGTACAGTGCTAAATATAAAAAAAATGCCCTAGTTTTGAAGGAGGTTAAAACCTTTCGGAGGTCAAGTGGATAAATCTCTTTTAAGTCGACAGGTTTCACTAAAATAATACCTGGTGATCTTGCAGTGTTCAGGCACTTCCTAGTATACAGTGACCATGCTCTGTCCCTGTTTCCCAATTATTGCCGGTGGTGACTGCAAGTAGCTGTACAAGTGCATGCATATAGAAACGATGTGGCTGTAGAGGTGCAGAAGGAGGTGAACAGCAACAAAAGTTAATAAGAGGTAAAAAAAAAAAAAAAAAAAAGTTGAAAAAAATAAAGTATGTCAAATATTTATTATACACAGTGCCCTTTAGCAAACTAAATGCCATCTATTTAGGGAAAACATCTACTTTAGGTACCATCCATGCTGACTGCTTGTTGCAATCAGTTTAATTTTACCTGTGATGTATGTATTTCAGCACTTTGAGCGCAACAAGTAAATATGCTTAATCATGTATAATATAATACATATTAGCAGTGTAGTAACAAAGCATGCAGGCTTCTGTTTATTATGTATCTAAACTGCTCAAAAAAATTAAAGGAACACTTTGAAAACACGTCAGATCTCAAGTGGGAAAAATATCATGCTGGATACCTATACAGATATAGATATAGACTGGGTAATGTGTTAGGAACTTAAGGATGCCTCATCGTTTGATGGAAATGAAAATGATCAACCTACAGAGGACTGAATTTAAAGACACCCCGGAAATGAAAGTGAAAAAATGATGCAGCAGGCTAGTCCATTTTGCTGCAATTTCATTGCAGCAACTCAAAATGGTACCCCGTAGTTTGTGTAGCCCTCACGTGCTTGTATGCATGCATGACCCTGACCACGCTGGGGCATGCTCCAAATGAGATGAAGGATGGTGTCTTGGAGTATTTCCTCCCAGATCTGGACCAGGGTATCACTGAGCTCCTGGACAGTCTGAGGTGCAACCTGGCAGTGTTGGATGGACCGAAACATGATATCCCAGAGGTGTTCTATTGGATTTAGGTTAGGCAAACGTGGGGGCCATTCAATGGTATCAATTCCTTCATCCTCCAGAAACTGCCTGCATACTCTCGCCACATGAGGCCAGGCATTGTCATGCACCAGGAGGAATTCAGGACCCACTACACCAACGTAGGGTCTGACAATGGGTCCAAGGATTTCAGCCCGATACCTAATGGCAGTCAGGGTGCCATTGTCTACCCTGTAGAGATCTGTGCATTCCTCCATGGATATGCCTCCCTAGACCATCACTGACCCACCACCAAAAAAGTCATGCTGAAGGATGTTACAGGCAGCATAACGTTCTCCGCAGCTTCTCCAGACCCTTTCACGTCTGTCACATGTGCTCAGGGTGAACCTGCTCTTATCCGTGAAAAGCAAAGAGGAGCCAGTAGCAGACCTGTCAATGGCAAATGCCAATCGAGTTCTATGATGCTGGGCAGTGAGCACAGGGCACACTAGAGGACGGCAGGCCCTCAGGCCGCCCTCATGAAGTCTGTTTCTGATTGTTTGGACAGAGACATACACACCAGTGGCCTGATGGAGGTCACTATGTAGGGCTCTGGCAGTGCTCATCCTGTTCCTCCAGTCCTGTTGATGGGTTAAAGACCTTCTACAGCCCTGTCCAGCTCTCCTAGAGTAAACTGGCTGTCTCCGGGAATTTCCACCATGCTCTTGAGACTATGCTGGGTGACACTGCAAACCTTCTGCCAATGGCACGCATTGATGTTCAATCCTGGAGGAGTTGGACTGCCTGTGTAACCTCTGTAGGGTCTAGATATCACCTCATGCTACCAGTAGTGACACTGACCCTAGCCAAATGCAAAACTAGTGAAAAACAGTCAGAAAAGATGAGTAGGGAAAAAATGTCAGTGGCTTCCACCTGTAAAACCATTCTTGTTTTGGGGTTGTCTCATTGTTGCCCATCTAGTGCACCTGTTGTTAATTTTATTAACACCAAACCAGCTGAAACTGATTAAAACCCCCCTCTGCTACTTAACTGACCAGATCAATATCCCAGGAGTTTAATTAACTTGGTGCTATACTCTGATTAAAAAGTGTTACTTTTATTTTTTTGAGCAGTGTATATTGTGTATGTATGGAGTATACTATGGACACAGTCAGTTTTCAGTAAACTTTCCTAACCTTCCAAAACATTCATAATAATATTCATATCCTCTTCGTATAATGCAAAGTATAATATCACAAAATGAGAACAGACAGCACTACACTGAGTTGGAATATTCTTTCCTAAGTAAAACATAAATAAGTAAACAGGGAGATGGAGATCACACCAATGTATTCAAGCTTAGTCACACAATATTGGCGAGCCCGATGGCTTCCATCTGCAAATAAGCCATATTTCTGTGCTGCACTTTCATGGCACACAGGTCAGTGTGCAGGGAAGCGAACCCTGGTGAGCTGTGTTGCTCTGGCTACATCTGTTGCTTAAAGCAAAGTGAATCATAATTTAAAAGCAATGAGTTCAGCTGATACAAATGAGAGTTTCCTGGATCGTGTCCTTTCCAACTGTTGGAATATTGCTTTGATGATTTCATTTATGCATCGTTTAGATACGATTATTTACACTGGACTTTACTCAGGCTGAGTCAATGTATTCTGCTGCAAATACATGGGTCTATTTGAACTGCAATAAAGTAGAGAAAATTGTAATTTCTAAGACCTTTTTCTGAACAGGGTGTGGACTAGATGTATTTACAGAGGTAGGAAAGAATTAGAAGACTCCACTGCCACATGGCTTACACAATTATGAATGAACTGTAAAGGCATGCATGTGCATGACTGGTCCAGACAATCCCAATGCTAGCCTAATCTTTGGGGAAAAAAATAGCAACCATTCAAAAACATTCAATTCAGACATTTGATTTAATCAGCCAAGATTGATTAACCTGTGAGTATCTGCACATTTTGGGAGTAGCCCAATAGTCATACAAGCATAGGCAACATTCATGTCCTGATCACCGATCTCACCGGGATAGAAAGTGATGGAAGATCCACCAGGACAGGAAGAGAGGAGAAATCTCCCGATGGGGACACAGCTTTCTGGTGACAACTGTCCGGGAGGGGATGGGCTCACTCTGGGGAGATTTCTTCGCTGAGTCCCCAGAACAGAAAATGAAGGGAAATCTCTCCACGGGGACACAAATGACAATAAAAAACTGACCGAGGTTCTACTATTCCCTCCTCCCCCCAAAATCGGGGAACAAGTTTTGGCTTTAGAAATATTTGTTACAATATAGAATATATTATATATTCCAGTGACTGCAGTATCTATGCGCAGTGTATTCTGGAATTAGGCTCAGACATGGTTTCCCCAGGACCCTTTAGGCCACGCCCTATATTGAGCGCGATGTCTCCATGGCCACACCTATTTTTAGCACATCTGGCACCACGTCTCACCCTATAGTTTATATAAGAAGATCCGTTTTTATGAATGGCGGCGGTAGAGCGGCGGTTTCCGTACATTTGGGAGGTGATCCTGCCGCCTCCTGTATGGGTTTTTTTTTTTTTTTTTTTTAAATCCCAAGTGGGATTTTGTATTGAAATACGGCGCCGCAGCTGTGATCAGAGCGCAGTGGGATGATCCTATTGACCTCAATGGGCAAGTTTGTGTTGATAAATCCCGATCAAACCTGCGGCGTCTGTACCGCCCCTTCTGGCTGCCATGGTAGGATTTAGGTGGGCTGCCAGAGGTGGTAAAAATGCAAATCAAACTTTCTTTTTTTTTTTTTTTTTTTTTACCACCTGTGTGAAAGGGCCCTGCCAGTGTTAAATGGTTTGTCTCTGCCCTCTAACCGTCATTTTGCTGGACAGCTTGGTCTGATAAAGGAACTTGAAAAAATAACATACTTACTGGCAGGATCACCAGGGAATGAAACTGTTACGGGGAGACCCAGAAAAACAAGACGTGTTCATACCAGTGTCAGATTGCTTCATAGAAGTCATTTTTTTTTATTTTGATCAGCGTTAGGTATGGGGATTCAGGGAAGGTGGGGGGGATGGGGGGGTAGCTGCTAGAGATGTCACAGGGATTTTTAACATTTCCTTGTCTGGAATAGAAAACCAGGACTGAGACTCCCAAACCCCCCCCCACCCCCCCCCGGAGCAGAGAACTCCCATATTGTCCATGTATATAGAGAATCCCAATAAAGGGCGACACGTAACACCAGATTGTTCCCATAACACTCATGACACATATATGTAAAACACAATCCATCTACATGTGCACAGATTCTGTGTAATATCAATGGCGTGTATAGAGCAAGAATAAAAATGACTGTTTTCCTTTCTCTCCAGGACAAATTGATGAACATCTCGACGTCAGGACACCTTACATGATGGAGGACAAACAAACACCTCCAGCAACTCCATCAACCAGTGAGGACCAGGAGACTGTACAAGCCTCACCCATGGAGGAGAACGACATGCCTGTCACTCCATGCACTGAGGACGAGGATACTGTACAAGACACAACTATGGAGGACGAAGAAAAAAGTCACTCCATCAACAGCACTGGCTGCAACTATGGAGTCCTTCTGTAGCGATGTAAGAGACTAAAAGGAAAGTTGCTCTTCGGGACACCAGCTAGTGTCCCCTCTAGCTTACACCCAGAAGCTGACTGCAGGTCCAGAGGGGGTTAAACAGCAGAAGTCCCAGAATCCCTTTTGAACAGTCTGTACTCACAAGGCCCTTGCTGTAGATCACCTTCCTCCGTGAATCCTAGTCAGGATTTGTAGACAGCCCCTTCAGTCAGCTCCCAAAAGCACCTTGAGTTTCAGCCTTCTGGCCTTGGATCGCCCACCTGAGGCCTCCTGGCAGCACATGCCAGGGAGGCAGCAGCCTCCTTGGCTAGAACTCCCTTCTCAGAAGGAGAGGAAAAAGAACCCAGATCCCATGTGCTCACTGAATATAAATACTAGCACCCAGCATGGTTAGGGACACCACTCACTGTAATTGGCTTTAGCTGCATCCGTATTCATACTGCTCATCTGCATGAGTCATACTATGCACCTAAATCCTTCCTTGGTTATCTGAATACAGATCAACCTTCACTAGGATGCAGCAGCACTGTGAGTCCCACAGGACGAACTAGCTAGCAATTGCAACCCTTCTGTTGAGCAGAGAGAGAGGTACTAAATTTGCCTTACAATCTCCTGTTAAGCAAAAGACTATACTATGCTATACTTAACTATGCTATATAAACATAACTAAACTTTTGATTAAAAGCTTTAAACCAGGGGTGTCCAAACTTTTTTCAAAGAGGGCCAGATTGGATGAAGTGAACATGGTGGAGGGCCGAACATTTTTCAGAACATTCTTTGAACCATTACAATTAAATGCAAATAAATTATTTTATGCCAAGTTAATTGCAAACGACATACTTTTCATTTCATAACATTAAGATCAACTGACAGCTGTGTTTTCACAATGTATTGAAAATAAATTTAAAAAAAACTTACCTGCACTAATGTGAAGGGTGAAAAAGGTAGCTGGAGCTGAAGTCTCTGCTCGGCAGCCGGGAGGGGAAGAGAAACACACTTCACGCTGGAAGCCCGGCCCTGATGTCACCGCCCTCTGTCGCTCCCAGCGCGGCGCAGTCACGCATGAGCACTGCTCTCAAGCAGAAGACTGTCTGCCACAGAAGGTAGGGCCGTGCGACAGCCCAGGGAGAACGCGCCGCAGTCAGGCATGCGCACTGCCCTCTGCTCTCAAGCAGAAGACTGTCTGCCATAGAAGGGAGGGCCGTGGGAGGGCCACATTACACAGAGCAGGGAGGGCTGTTGGAGGGCCATATTAAACCAACCCCCAGGCCGTAAATGGCCCGTGGGCCGGACTTTGGACATGCCTGCTTTAAACCAAAAGTTATCTTCACATGTTGAAACAACTGGCAATCTACAAGATAATGGCAGAAGTTACAAATCAGTGAATATTTTGTTAGACATGCATTTTTTTTTTATTTTTTGTTGCTATTCTGTCTCTCAGTGTTACAATATACCTACTATTTTATTTTTAGACTGATCATTTCTTTGTGAGTGAGCAAACATTCAAAATCAGCAGGGGATCAAATACCGTATTTTCCAGCGTATAAGACAACTTTTTAACCCTTGAAAATCTTCTCAAAAGTCGGGGGTCGTCTTATACGTCGGTAAATGGCATGCTGACACTTGGTATCAGGGCGGCACTTTTTAGGGGGGTGGCACGGTGCCGCCGCAGTCCCCCCCCTTCCAACGGAAGGAACACTAAGTACAGGGGTGGGCAGGGGGCTGCTGTTTCTTACCTGGCTCCGGTCCCAGTCCCACGACGATCCAGTCCAGGAAGCGCGGCTGCTCCTTCATTCAGTTCAGCCGCTCGATGTTCGCGCGGCCGCTCGGCTCCGCCTCTTCACCGGTGATTGGCCGGCAGAACTGTAGCTCATGAAAGGCACACAGACGGCCAATCACCGTCGAGGAGGCGAAGCCAAGCGGCCACACGAAAATCGAGTGAGGGAGCGGCCGGTACGTGTGCCGTGCAGAGGTGCTGCTGCAACCACATATGCTGGCTGCAGCAGCACCATACTGGAAGAGGGGTCAGCAAGTGTTATTGGTGTCAGTGGGAGGAATAGTGCCCCATCATTTGTGTCACTGATACTAATGATGGGGCATTATTCCTCCCACTGACACCAATGATGGGGCACTATCCCCCCCCCCCCACTGACACCAACGATGGGGCACTTTTCCTCCCCCCTCACTGACACCAACGATGGGGCACTATTCCACCCCCCCACTGACACCAATGATGGAACACTATTCCTTCCCCCACTGACACCAATGATGGGGTACTATTCTTCCCACTGACACCAATGTTGGGACACTATTCCTCCCACTGACACCAATGATGGGGCACTATTCCTCCCACTGACACCAATGTTGGGACACTATTCCTCCCACTGACACCAATGACAGGGCACTATTCCTCCCACTGACACCAATGACGGGGCACGATTCCTCCCACTGACACCAAAGATGGGGCACTATTCCCCCCACTGATACTAATGATGGGGCGCTATTCCTCCCACTGACACCAATGATGGGGTGCTAATCCTCCCACTGACACCAATGATGGGGCACGATTCATCGCTCTGACACCAATGATGGGGCACGATTCCCCGCTCTGACACCAATGATGGGGCACTATTCCTCCCACTGACACCAATGATGGGACACTATTCCTCCCACTGACACCAATGATGGGGCACGATTCTTCCCACTGACACCAATGATGGGGCACTATTTCTCCCACTGACACTGATGGAGTACTATTCCTCCCACTGACACTAATGATGGGATACTATTCCTCACACACTGACACCAATGATGGGGCACCACATGAGGGGGCACGGGGCACACCGTGACAAGGGATTTTTGTGTGGGGTTGTTTTACAGGGATTAGCCATGGCCCCTTAGTTCCAGTGAAGGTAACTCTTAAGGCATCAGCATACCAAGACATTTTGGACAGTTTCTTGCTCCTAACTTTGTGAGAACAGTTTGGAGAAGGCCCCTTCCTGTTCCAACATGACTGCACACCAGTGCACAAAGCAAGGTCCATAAAAGACATGAATGAGCGAGTTTGGGGTGGAGGAACTTGACTGGTCTGCACGAAGTCCTGACCTCAACCCAACAGAACACCTTTGGGATGAATTAGAGCGGAGACTGTGAGCCAGGCCTTTTCGTCTGACATCAGTGCCTGACCTCACAAATGCACTTCTGGAAAAATGGTCAACCATTACCATAGACACACTCCTCAACCTTGTGGACAGCCTTCCCAGAAGAGTGAAACTTTTATAGCTGCAAAGGGTGGATCAACTCAATATTGAACCCTACAGACCAAGACTGGGATGCCATTAAAGTTCATGTGCGTGTAAAGGTAGGTGTCCCAATAGTTTTGGCAATATAATGTGTACATGCTGTGTGTGTATGTGTATGTACAGTATATATAAACTCACTCATTTATTTTAACCAGAGTATATGATCCAAGTCAAATGTTAGGCATCCCCTGCAACAGGAATTTAATTTTGGTGAGATCCCTATGGATCAGGGGCGGACTGACCATTTGGAAATTCGGCCACTGCCCGAGGGCCCGGGGTCAGTAGGGGGCCCCATGAGATGCCCCTGGTACTTTTTTCATAGGCTTTTTTGAGTTTGGGCAAGGAAACAGAGGCCCCATGATCCCCTATTGCCCCATGAGTTGTCAGTCCGCCCCTGCTATGGATTATCTACTAATGGGATGCAGACACTGCAGCTTTCTGCATTAAAACTCAGAGGTTTGCTCTGGTGGTAATAATGAAAACAAACCCTCTCATTCAAGAATAAGTCTTGAAACATGTTGAAACAAACAGCTATTTGTTCAGAGCAGAGAAAGGTAGGACCCAGCCTACATTTGTTATAATACAGTACTTACAATGTAGAAAATCATCCAGTGTGGATTTTTTTTCCTCAACAGAAGTGGAGTTTACGGGGTTAAATTTAGGATTTTGTTGATGTTAAGGACCAGGAAGTGACTAAATGTTTTAGGGTGTTATAAAGCAAAAGGTATTAGTGCAATAGATGTGTGTGATGAAATCCTCCATGCTGAAACACCCATGCCAAAACAACCACATTATCAGTAGTTGAAAATAAATGTACCAGTCAACCAAATGTCCTTTTTTTCAAAAGATCTGTACTCACCTGTGACCCCATATATGTCCCTTTAAAAGTCGCAAGAGAAAACTTAAGCCCTAATGTACCACTCAGAAAGCTCTGCCTGCAGCAATAAGTTTATTATAATAACAGAGGGCATGAAGATGGTTGTGCTTGAGGCTTACTGTGCTAATAGTTAACAGATCGAATGATGTCAGACAACATTTTAAGCTAATGAAATATTATGCAAGAAGATTGAAATAAATTTTCCATCTACAATTACATTTGAAAAAAATACAATATAAGAAGGAAGGAATATATTAAGGGACTGCGGTTTTTGGTTTTTTTTTCCACTGCTGTGAAAGCTGAGAAAAACTGCAAAGATGAAGTGAGAAATTAAATTTTGCAAACAATGTGTTTCATTTTTATTATGAATCTTGATTTTTACAACAGAACAAATGGGCTTTGTTGAAAAATGTATATAAAATTAGATCTTCTATATGTTGTTATTGTTATTGGGACCTGATTTTTTTCTTGACTTTATAGCTGAGCCCTGCTAACTGCCACTCCACTCTCCAATGACAGTACCTCAGTAGCCAATAAGAGCACTCCCACTAAACAGTGGAGTGGCTGTAGACAAGGTTTAGCCCCATTCACAATGTAAACGGGTTTTAAACCCAAGGACAACATTTTAAATATTGCAGCTTGCCAATATGATGGCTGCATTTGTTTTCTTTTTTTTAGCTAAGTATATTTTCTGCAAGGATAGAATATTATCTGTTGGTCTTACCCAAAATCCAGTAGGCTTGTACATTTCTGAAATTTGTTGTCAGCTTTCCAAACAATCTTCTGTGAACTACACAACCCCTCCTTCCGACACAATGAAGACGTGGTGTTTTTAGTCCAAATCGGGAGAGCTGGGTTACCTAGGGTGCCAGCACTACTCCTTCATTAATCCAGTACAGTAACGGAGTGTTGTCAGAAAAAAAGAAATCAAATGCAGCCACCACTTTAGAGAACTGGTAGACTACAATATACAGTATGTAACTTATTTGTTTTCTGTGTTTAGAGGGGCAAAAATGATTTGTCTTTATATCTACTTGAGACATTGGAGCTTCTCCTGGTAGGCATTGGGAACTGCATGCATTTAGGCACCTCCTGGAGCAGTAGAACAAATGAGCAAGTACTGTATTTTGAGAGATGTTCTCCTGCTATTCACATATACTTGTGCTGCCACACAGCTTTACTGTTTAGCAGTTGTTATTTACATGTTATGTTATAATGTTATTTGGTATCATCCACACACCCCTGCTGTTTCTGACTAGTTGGTTGCTTCCAACCTTCATTTCCTGTTGTAACACCATTTTTGTTTAGTGGTTATCAAGCTGCTGTAGAGTGAGGAGGCTATGTACAGCACTGGAAATTTACCTGAAAACACCTTTATGTTCATACCTTTGCTACCTTGAAGCATAAAGAAGCATTGGAAAATACCTCTGAAGTTGTTATTCATTGAGTAAACTATCTGTTAAGGCGATCATTCAACTTGCTGCACACATTCTGACAGACTGGGTCTAAACGAATCTCGCCACAAGTACAACCGATGCCAAGACAGAACAGTAAATTTCCAGTAAATCTCCATGAGAATTCATCACACAGCCATCTCTGCAGCTTCAGAACTGTGAGTAACCATTCTCCTGTATGAAGAACAGTAATCTTGTCTGTGCACTGAGTGGAGCATCCAGTGTGAGCCAGGCTGCTGTTCTAGCTGCCTCATTGCAATAGACATTCAGCTCCCCAGCTCAGCCTGCTTGCAAATAAAAGTAACTACAGAGCTGAGCTTCTGCAGATTTCCAACAAGACACTAAAACTACAGCACTTGTCATTATGTCTGACAGAGATCCCACTCATGAGTCACCTGCATGTAATCAAGATAAAACAGACACCATGCTGCATTCTGCTCGTCCTGTTAGAGCCCCTCATCCATCTTTGAAGGCAAGGGAGGCTTATGATGCAAGTAAGGAAGAGACATACAGTAACCTGACTGCATTATGGGAGAAAACTTTAAATTGTATAACAGCCAGTAATGAAACTAGCAACAATTCTGAGCAATTGAACACTGCCCTCTCAAGGGTTAAGAAGGCATTTGAGAATTATAAAAGACTTTCTGAAAAGTACTCTTCCCTTTTGTCACATTCCAATGTAGAGGAAGCTTCAATAGAATTAAAGAACTTTATTCCTACTGACCAGCAGAGACATATCACTTATCTTGAAGCAAAGACACAGATAGAGGGTAGATTAGCACAACTACATGAAACTACATCCTGTATATCTGCTTCTTCCAGACACTCAGGAAAATCAAATAGATCTGCCCGCTCATATCATAAATCATTTTCTAAGTCATTGCGGTCCTGCTCTGTAAGGTCAACACTGAGCGACCAAATACTCAAGGCTCGCCAAAAGGTTGCAGTAGCCCAGGTTCAAGCCACCTGTTCTGAAAGAGAAGCAGCCTTCAAGGCCCAGCTAGAAATCCTTCAGAAGAATAGAGAAAAGGAAGTAGCCTTAGCAGAATTATCCGTCTTGGAACAAGCCCTTTTAGAAGAAGAAGGAGCATATTGTCCCAGTTTGGCTGCTTGTCAAGACCCTGTTGAAAGGACCCTACAGTTTGTCTTAACCCAGAACCACGACGGTACAGTTCCACCTACAGTTGGAGATTCTTCCTATAATCATCCAGCAAGTCAATCAGAAGGCAACATGTTGTCAAAGCAAGCTGACCAACCCGACGCACCTTCCAACAGAGACACTCCACAACTACCGCGTGCCACAAAATTAAGTGTACCAACTTATCCAGCTCATGTGCCACCACAACCATATGTGAATAGAGATTACAAGGACACAACAGAAGACTACAGAGTGAACTCTATACCTCCTTTAATACAGTTAACTTCAACTTCAAATGCACAGAGATCTT